TCTCCAGCCAGGCGGCAAATGTCATCCGACGCTGTTATCGGTTTCTGCCAGCTTCTGGTTGATGGCCACTTTCGAAGGAGAGTTTGAAGTCATTTTCCAGAATCTGTCGTGCGGTTATGTGACTGACGCAGACTTCCTGAGTCGTTACGAGGGTGAATTTTGATGAGTTCATAGAAATGACAGACCCGAATTTCGCAGTGCCCTCTGTTGTTACTTTTTAATGCATCCTCCCGCCATGACGCGCAAAGACAGCTTGCATGCCACAAAACGGCCCTTTTTGCGATGCCTGCGTTTTAGCCTTTTATTAAGCACATCTAACAGTGCTTCGCCATGATAAAAATAAGCTGCAGTTTTTCACAAAATGAATGTTAGTAACCGCATTTTCTCTTGACGGGTGCTCTCCAACATACGTGTTTCGCTGTCATCAGATGGTGCACTGTCTAAATCATCGGTGGAAATGGAGGCTGCTAATGCTGATGAGCACCATGACTATCAAAACAGGAACCTTGTGCACATTTCTGGAGTCAGCTTAAGTGTATTCATGAAGCAGCGTATCGACTTTTCGTGTCTTTAGCTGAAATCACGTCCTGTAACACATATTAACATGTACGAGTTATTGTCAACGTGGAGAACGCACGAGGTATAAAGTATAATGCGGCAAGCTCTAAGCAGCTGTTAACTGCAAGTACGCCATGCATCGGTGTAATCTTCAGCTCCGATTTGCAATACAACGCCGGCACAACAAACACGCTTTTTTGCACGCATTAATAATCTTAAAAATAATCATACCTATCTCTGAATGTTGAGTGGCGCGGTGATATAGGTCATGAAACAGCATAGAATCACACACCACTTCTAAAATGCGGCGTCTTCGGCGGCTTAGCCATGACATTTTTACAGCTTCCGCCATCACAGCTGACACCGTTTCAACCAGAGTTGAACCGCCATTTCCATTCACGGCCCCCACTACGAGGAGATTCGAGAGGATTGCGGACGGAACAAAGAACGTCTTACCATACATAAATCTGTCAAACTATAGCCTAGCTAACTTGAAAGTGGAAAACGTCATTAATCTAGCAGGGCTGTACGCGAGGTCGGAAATGTTATGAATTCGTCAAATAACGAATAGAGCTTTCACTCGGTACTTTCTATGCAGCGCTAATATATAGCTTCACTTTGTTGGAAATAGCTTGTGATAAAAGAACGAGGTTTTTGAAAGGATTCGAATACAGACCAGTCCACATCAAACTGAAGTCGCGTGTTGCAGGAAATCCTGTAGGAGCCCAACGGCAGCCCAGTCAGCGAAACGAAAGTTCCAGCGTACGTTGTGCAACTCTCACACGGAAATTGGAAATGAATGCTGTGTCTGCATCGACACTTCCTGTCCTTTAACGTTCATTTGGGCACTCAGTCTGAAATGTCTGCGTATGGAATACCCCCGAAAGGCATGAGCTACCGTGTGCTGACTTCAGAATTTTTCCGTTATCGATCCTCAATATAGCAGGAGTAACCGGTTATACAACGTTATCTAGGGGACATTGGTTATATTGTCAATACTTAAAACTCAAAATCCAAAGTCACATTCTTGATGTATGGTCAGCCTACCGAGCTGTGGCTCCACAAATAAAAACATTTTACAAGCGTGGTCCCCAGCTGCTCCGTTCCTCTGCCAAAGGCATTAAAGCCTCCACGGCTTGCTGCTACATTAACATCTGGAACCAGTCTTCAGCGGCTAGTATACAATACGTGTCAAATTTTATACCTATGTATGCAATAAAAAGGCCACGGTACTACTGTACGCTGAGTAAAAGGGCAGCACTTAATGACACCATTAGCTGATGATCCACTGCCAAGACCTATGACTGGCATTATCTCGGGCTCAGGGATCATCTTACTTATTGGTACAACTTCTAGCTGAGGTCAGATACGTGTGAGTCGTGATTTTTTTGCTTTTGAGCTGCTCATGGTCGCTGCACTCAGCTTGTTTTGGCGAGCTAAGGCACAATCGTCGGATATGGCGTAGCGATAAAATGTGTTCATGCTTGAGAGCAAATTAAAAAGTGCGTTCTTGTTAGTGCACTTGCGAAAGCTAACTTTTCATGTCGAAGTGGAGACATCCTACCACAATTCACCTTGCTCTGCATGGATGAGTGGAGCTCAAAGAACACTGAACGTGATTTTTTAAAAAATTTATCACGAATGGTTTGTATGGGTGACTTCGGATTCAGAGTACCTGCTAAGCATGGCTTGTTGAGTGTACCCCGAACCGACCACCCAAGCGTGCCGTCCAGTTCAACAGCTGATTTTGCCTCCGCCCTTTCGGGTTTTACGTGCCGCACAATGCTGCGACACGGCCGCCTCGGGTCTGGGTTGAGCCTCGTTGGCCAGTTGCCAGCCGGCCTTTCTGTTTCAGTCGGGTCAAACAATGCGCCCACTCTGGGACTCGTACCCAGTGCCGCTGGATTACGAGTCCAGCATCGTTCCCCCAGACCACGGAGGCGGCTTACCTAAATGCGCTGCTTACTTTTTCCAGATATGGTATGAACATCGCATAATCGTATAGACTTGCATGACAACAACAGTGACACTTCACAATAGGCCTGTGTATGCTTTCCGCATAACACATCCTCCCATAGCAAGTGGATAACTAGTAATAACTGGATGAAACGATCATGGACTCAATCATTATATAACTGATGTTCCGCTAACCAATTGTGGGATAGCACCTGGGAATTTCAAACGGTCGGACACACAGGCTGGTAGAATAAAATCCGGCGGGCGGGTAGGCGTGTAGCACCTACATATCGAGCGGTAACGGGTGGGCACGGATGCGACTGTATGGTTAGAGGACGGCTACGGGTGTAGAAATCTTCCCGCAAAAGGCTCTCCGGGTACATCAGCAGCACGCATCAGCTGGGACTCATGCTGCCATAAGCCTGGCGGAGCGCTCGCTAATGAGGGGGCAGCTAACGGAACTTTGACGAGCCAACCGGTTCCACCGCGCCGAAAGCACTCGCAAATTGGTCGGCTGGCAGTCAGCTGATTGATAGTCAGCCGGCGCGCGACCAAGGCTTTGGGAGATCGCTGGCGGCACCATGGATTATTATTGACCGCGAGCTGGCCGTCAGTTTGCATTAGGGGTAGTCCGGAAGACGCGGCAGATGCCGGTAAAACGAGGGATGAGATTACGAGCTGTGATTTGCTGAAAGCTTAAGAGTTGTCGCACTGAAGTGCAGAGTCAAGGAGACCACGCTGTAAGCACCTGCTTCGAATGGTTTGCCGAATGCCTGCGCATGGCAAGCTCAACTCAGCATGGTCGTTCCGTGGGGCTCAAATGCTATAAGCATGGCAAGCAGCTAAATAAATATATGACGAGGCTAGTTTCGGATCACGGAGCACGAAAATCGGCCATTCTTTCTCAAGCCCAGTGGGTAAATCTGTAGCACCAATTGACATGACGTCATTTCGGATTCGTGAAAAATCGGAGCTCCCCGAATTTTTTTTCGACGTTGTTGCAAAACTGAATCCCTTATTATGCTACATTTTTGCAAAGATGAGAAGGGCAAAACATAGTCACACATGAAAATACTTAATTTGACCTAGTCAGGTCAGAGCTCCTTTGGATCCATTTATCATTGAAAACTCTGTGCACCTTTTCCAAATTTGGAATTTTGGTGGGGTGGGGGAGGGGAAATTTGTCTTTCCGACTCGTCCCCGACGCCACTACTGTAAGATGTCACGTTTTCTTCTTCGGACGGCAGAGCGCAACGTACCAGACAAATATCATCTCTCTACGTCGACTCATACGAGAAACTTTGCCCAAGTTAACCTACAATTTAGGACGTCAGCTTTCTTTGAGACGGAAATAGAACGGTGGGAGCCAGGACCAGCTAAATATTTAAGTAGCACTTGGCACTGAAATGGCGATATGCCACGCAAATTGGTCTGCTTGTCACGTGAATCCCGCTCCTCCTCATGCAAAGCTCACCAGCGCACGAGAGCCTGAGATGTCAACGGTAATGTTTCGATGTGAGAGCACCACTCTTCTACCAGAACCATGCCAGCATGACGATGTTACATTCTCATGCTGCTCACAGTGCATGGGACTGCAACATCCTCTATGGCCGGAAGAGGAGAGCGTGACGCATTATCGTGACGGTGAACCCTTTTCTCTGAAGGCGGTGACTTAAATTATTTGATAGGTCTTGACTGGGGTATATGTGCGCTCCATTGCTTCCTCGGACAGCCTTTGCATCTTTACCGTACGCAGAATTATTTCAGCTATACGTCACGACTGCCTGGTTATTCCATTGTTTGACTCATTAAACAGTCTTTCGTCAGCTATGCAATTACTTGGTCTCAAGAGAAGACCATAATTCAAAACGATCTACGGACAAAATTAACAAAGAGCACCACCGAATCCTAAAGGGTGACTGAGCAATGTCACAGAGTGCCAGAAAGGTGCTTTTAACTGAGCTTCAGAAATAGTTCGAATCCTAAAGGATCTCTCGGAAGAGGTTCCAGAAGAACTTTGAAGCACATACTCAAAAGGATTTTTAATCCCAAAACATCAAGAGTCTAAGACTTTGGAATGCAATACATAGATCAATTTTCAGAATGCACTGAAATGTCGGACATTAATTGTACACTTCTGTGAGCATTTGAAAGCGTCCAGAGCGCTGCTCTCTTGCGTTTAATTCGCTGCGCGCCGCTAGACGTTGCTGATATAATACAACCCATGAAGTTCTAAATTCACATAAATTGACATTACATGACGATATGTGATGTATATTTATATGAAGAAAGAGAGAGAGAGAGAGAGAGATACATACATATATATATATATATATATATATATATGATTTTTCCATTCCTATTTCAGTCACATTCTCGGTATTTATGCTCTATTCAACGGATTGGATAGGATAAGTGAAAGCATATTGGAGACAATGCATTCTGTCGTATTTCGAAATCGAGGTCCTGCATACACCCCAAAAAGACTTTGTCATCGGTTAGATTTATTGCCAGGCTACATTTGGGATGGCGTTCGTTTTCTTCCAAAACGGGTTAATTTATGTTGCCAGGAGGTATCGGAATTAGCTAAGATTACGAAATCCTCATTGTAAGAACTTCTAAAGTTAATTAGTGCACACAGTGGTTAAAACTTACTCCGAGAATTTAAAGACGGCCTTTGAAATAACTCCGCTTGCCAAAGAGCTCAGAGCCTTTTCATAATCCTTCAGATCAAATGTTTGAATGGCCAACTTCTCATAAGAGAGATAGCGCATTCCCATCGCGGCAGTGAGGGCTGTGGCCTTCGGGTAGCAGAAAGGGTTGGTCAATGTGCCGAGGATCTTGAGCTCCTTGTGGAACATCTGGTTGGGTGCGATGCTGATTCGAGCAGTGGGTGGCGCCACTCCGAAGATGCAGAGATGTCCACCCTTCCGCAGCCACTGGAATGCCTCCTCCACGGCCGGGGCGTAACCAGAGCAGTCAACGACGTAATCCAGTCCGAACGCATCGAGGTCCTCGGCCGCCTTCGCCATCATTTCCCTCGTCTGGTCGGGCGCCATCGCCTTGTAGCCCAGCTCAAGAACGTCAATACGGGCACGACGTTCATTGGACGGCTCCGAAATGATAACATTCTTGTGTCCATGCAAATGGAAGATGCACGCGTACAGAATGCCAATGATGCCTGCTCCAATGATGAGAACGTTGGCGTCATGCGGCACAATCCCAATTCTGTCCACACCGTGCTGAATGGTGGAGAGCGTTTCCACCAGACAGGCCAGGTCTAAGCCGAGACCCATGGAGTCGGGGATATTGTGAACCTGTTGTGCTGGGGCCAGACAATATTCCGCCCATCCTCCGTCGCGGAAAAAGCCCAGAGCGTTCTTGGGGCCCTCGTGAAGACAGTATTGAGGATTTCCGCTGGCACAGTACCTGCACTTGTAGCAGCCTCTGTACGGATCAACTGTGACCTTGTCGCCAACTTTGAGAGTCTTGACGTCGGCCCCAATCTCTGTCACCACTCCACAAATTTCGTGTCCCAAGGTCACGTCATGCTCGGCAGTGGGGTAGTTCGCTTTGATGGCGTGCAGATCCGTACCACAGATGCCGCAGTACACAACTTTAACTAAAACGTCGTCACCCTTCTCTACCTTCGGAATGGGAATCTCTTTAAGCTTAAGCGTTTTTGTCGGACGGTTAAATTGCAAAGCTTTCATTGTTTTACTCATACTTGCAAATTTTAAGGTTTATGCTCTGAATTAACAGTGAGAAAGCCTTGATAATAGGAACACGGTAGATTTTGAGCTCCGAAAAATTTAAAAATAGATTTGAACTAAAAATACGCAGGGCATTAAAGGCATTCACGTGCGGGTCTAAAAACATAATGTGTGCATCTTAAAGCGTGCGTTTGACTGTAGACACACCTCCTGCATTTGGTTTGGAAAGCTGCATTCCCAGTTCCACGGTCGCCTTTTTGTTTCAAATCGACGAATGTGTTCCCGCACTACGATTTGTTGTAGCACTCGATACCTGGTGCATTTGCACAGGGTCTAAGCGTTTGTGAGCGTAAAGTGCCAACTAATCCATAGAAATGTGAGCCTCTAGGAAAACAGCCAGGTGAGCACGGTTTGTAGATCTGTTCGCTTCGCTTCCAGCCGGTGTCCCCGCAGGGTTGCAAATTATTATTACGAGTTTTAACGTTCAAAATAGTGCTACCAGATAATCTGATTTTTACACTACCACCGTTAGCACCAACAGCCGATCATCACGACCACGGCGGGTGTGGGGTCTCAGCTCCATTATTTGCTGCAAAGCAAAAGACGCATTGGTAGCTTTCAGAGTTGTGTGATGTGTCCTCTCTTGTCCCCAGGCTAGGTCCCGCCATCATTCGAGGAAATGCGTAATTCATCTCGCACGCAATGAACAAATCACGAACTTATTAAATATGTAAAGACTGGCGCTTTAACTTTTCATGGAGATTGACGGCGCTGCTTAAATAGTCTGCAAACCTGCCAGGCTACTTGTGCTGTTCTTTTTCTCATCAATTAACTAACAGACCGGCTCGCCAAAAAGGCAGAAACATCCCGGTTGTCCGTCACCACAACGTTCGTTGTCTGGAACTTAAGTCATTGTTGATGCTTCCTCGACACTTCTGAATTGAGTAAGATTTATCACCTAAAACTGAGGAACAAGGACCGTCATTCCTGGCGGCGACGCACCGGAAGCGATTGCAAACAACGATTCGATTGATAGATACTGCGTTCCGTGTCTTGCGCTGTTGAGTTGAATTGAGCATTCATTGCAGCATTTCCTATGATTCAGAGGTTATCAATAAGGAATAAAAGATCGATACAAAGTGCGTTTCAAAGGCACATTTATAGGCTTGTAAATACACGATCCAGTGAGATGCAGTAAATCACGTTAACGGAGCCACGGGATTCCGACCGAGTGTATATTACATGCGTCCCAAATCCACTGCCGCAGCGATCAACGAGGCAACGCGTGGCCCCGGACCTCAGCTGATGTCCCAGACGCGTGTCCTGTCCTGTCTGCCCGGACGTGAGCTGTCCCTCTCCTGGTGGGCTAATGCTCCCGGGCAGCTCATTGTCGACCTATGCAGCGCCAAAAGCTGACGCCACACATTTCCCCAGGGCACACTGCCGCTCGCCTCGGTTGGGAAGCCTCCCGACCCCGGAAACCGCGTCCGGTGACGCTACCGGACGCGTGTGGCGTCACCTGAGATGACGTCACACCTGCCGACGCGTCGTCGGCGGCGACGCGGGCCGCAGTCGAGTCAGTCGGCCCCGGCGCTCGACGCTGGCAGCAACCGGGGACGCCACAGGAGTCGCGCCCGGAGCAGCGCCTCGAGCGGCGGACAGCCAGCTCTCCCACCAGCGCAGGCCGCGGCCGATCCGAGCCGGACACGACTACTTTGGAACACCTCAGGCGACGCACACCGCACACCGCAGGTGAGCGGCGCAGGGCTGGCGTCCCGGGGACACCGCTCAGGCCGTCACCGTTACATTGACGCCGCCGTAGTCCTTCGGGAGGATGTTTGACCCGAAGCACGGCGTCAGAGGGCCGGAGTTCCGGGGAGGGCGGTGTTTGACCCGATCGGCGTGGACATCGGCTGCACAAGGCTGGAGGGGTCGATCTGACGCCGTCCGGCTTTGTTATAACGTGCGGCACGAGACCTTAATATCATTGCCTCCCCCCCCCCAAAAAAAAACAACTGAAAGTTAGTTACCCGCTACGTGGAAAGTTAGTTACCCGCTACGCGTAGAGGTAGGAACAAGAAATGCAGATGGGGCATGGCATGTCTACTTTTCGTGACTTTTGTTTCATGTTATCTCTTTGGGGGCAATTTGAAGATACCCGAAAATTAAAACGCTCCACTGGGCGTTTCTTGCGATATTTATACATCACTGTCACTGCAATTACTTAAGTTGAGTCGTCAGCACAAGAGGGGGTGGGGGGCAACAGTTACAGCTTAGCCCGTAGACTGACTGCTAATTCGGCCAACTTTGCCTTGTTGACGGTTCTACATGGCTTTTATTCACTTTAAATTAACCTGGCGTTGACACAGTCATGACAAAGCTGTATGCTGATTATGCACATAGGACGTACTTCTCGACTCCGACAGTGATAGTCGCCAGATTGTGTGAAAGGACCTCCTGTAAAATTGCTTGTAAGAAGACAGGTGTACTGAAGACGTGCACTGGAAGGCATGAATTTCATGGCGACTGCGTTTCACGCAATTGCGTGGCTCTCAGCGGACGTTGACGTCAAGGCGTTGATGGTTGAGTTAAAAAAACTTGCAGGCACCACGCTATTTTATGCGACGTAATTCGTGCGTGGCATGCATGTGTAGCCCAGATTACTGAATATTTATCAACATTGTAAAGTAGCCTGCATTTCACATGAAGATCCCCCGAAATGAAGTCACTTGTCTTAAGGGAGTCATTCGCTCTATGCATCTATTCTCTATCGCTCTGTTCATGTATCTATGCATTTTTTCAATAGTGCATGCCGCAGTGAAGCGTGGATATTGCAACCCGGTGTCAAAGATACAGAAGATGAAAAACATCCAACACACGGACACCCATTCATCGTCTTCCAACAGCATTAGCCCTCAAGCGGGCGCGCTCTCACCGCGCATACAAAACGGCTCGAGCCCCCTATTATCCCGGCTAATTTAAAGTTCCATGCTTTTAATTCCGCACTCTGGAGATGCAGCATGCATTAGCACCAACGTAGCCACCACAAACTCTGGTGGCTACAGGCGACACTCGTGTTGCACAGATTGGGTTAATCGTTTTCGCGCTGATTCGAACTATGCGTGGAGGATTACCGCATCGAAAATGTTCGCGGAGGCAGAGCTAGAGGCCCTCACGGATACTCACGGGTAGGGTTTCCTTTGCCCAACCCACCACGCTACCTATGAATTGACGCACTCCCATCCGCTGTTGATTCATTATCAGCTGTGCTCACTCGCTATCGCTCTGTTTACATTTTTGCAGCAATGCAGTTCTAAATTGCGGGAAGGGAAGTTTCAGGGAAGTTTGCATCGAAACGCATGTTTGGACACTGATAATTGCAAAAATAGCTTGAATGATGCTCCTTGTGAATGAAATGAATGCAAGCAGCAGCACTGTGCCATGTTGAGGTACCTGCTCGTCATTTTGTAGCCGTCTTACCTCTGCCCTTATCCATGCCCGAAATGTTCTCCAAACCTGAGACAACACGTTACCTATTCCATATGAATGGTACTTACTCATAGGTTGTCCAAGCCGTGGAGCCCTCTAGACAGGTTACACCGAGCGAGCGAGCGGAAGCTGCCGGACATCAGCTGAGCGGTCACTGAGCCACAGCCACGGGCGCACACAGGGCGAGGGGAGCGAGCGAAGGTCATCGCTCAACTTCTCAGAAAACAAATAGCATGCGAGCGTGTTCGCTTCTTTCCGGCCAACAGCCGCGCCTCACTGATTCAGCCGTCTGTGTGCGCCTCTGGGCTCTGCTCCCTCTCCGCGCGAGATCGATGGCTAATTACCAACGGATTGGTCGGGCTGGACCAGTCTCAACCAGAGCTGTCATCGGGTGAAGCCGCTGTGATCCCGAGACTGCGATGCGCGGGGTCACCACGCGGGGGGCAAGGACAAGCGAGTAGTTTCGAAAATTTGACGTTATGACGAAATATGACGTTAATTCTATTGGCATTTGTGTCCGGATATCTTTATAGCCCGATTGGCACGTGCATTAAACCCCTTGCCAACAAGCAGGGGAGAGTCCAAATCTGCGGAGTCCCAATGATTTTGTGCATCAAAAGATCACGTATTACATCGTCTGCAGCTAGTTAAAGTTAGGTGTGGCTACATCGCGTCTTTGGAAAATTATGCTGAAAACTTTCGGGGAGGATCAAGTTGACCCTTTCACAGTTGATCCTTCCAAATTTCAAACTGACCTCTTCCCCCTGTGATGAATCAGACAGCTTCGTAGTCCATATGTAGCGGGTTAACCAGAGCACCAAGCGTGCTTCAGCAGAGCGCAGTACTGCTACTAGTGGGCTGGTTGGCTAGCATTTGGGACGGCAGATTCACGTTACGCCAGAGCAAGACCGTTGCGTTCGCTTTTGTGCGGGTTCCGCACCTCTGATTAGAAGTCTGTGAGTGCCTCCGGCTAAATCCCAGTAGCGGGATAATGTGCAGACAGGAATGATGTCTCACAAACAGGGTCACGTTATGACTCGCCAGCATCTGGATGCTACAAACGGATGTCACTGCCGCCAAAACAGCACTCTGAAAACCGACCATGAATTAGTCTGGCCCTAACTAGCCCATGTGCTGCCCGGGTACTCTACACCATATGGCTGGAGCAAGCCTGCCTGCCTCTGTAGGAAAACAGCGCGATTATTCGCGAGTTTTTGACCCAGCTGTGACCAAGTTAAGACCATCCGAACAACATGGTGTATCGACGGTCTCGTTAACCGTGCCATAAGTTACGCTGTCACTAACAGTGCTGTGCCACTGTAATGGAATAACGGCGGCCTGTCACGGGCATGGCAGCGACAGTTGCGGACATTAAACGAGCGCCGTTGTTGCGAGTACCGTCAAGCGGTTCGTTCTTTACAAGAATGGCCCGTGTTTGATGGGGAATCAATGACCGAATAGCCGTGTCGCAAGGACGGGCACTGTACTGTCCAAGGTTGGAAAAACCTCTGTTCTTCGCCCAATTCACACCCTTACCCACGAGGCTGCGCCCATATGCACCCATTACCCATTCCTAATCAGGTGCACCCAGCCGTTACCCACCCGTTGGCGTTTTGCCAGACGAGGTCTAAA